GTTGTACGCAACAGTTTAAAATGTGGGTCTAACGAGATGGAGACAAATCTGTTAACACTGCACAGACAGAGTGAATTATGCAACTTGGCTGGTTTGGATATCTAATCATGACAAAAAAAAGAAACAAAGGGTGAAAGCAAGTGTTAGCAATAAAGAAAAATTTTCTACAAAAATAAGTCAATGCCTCAGCCCCCCAGTTCTCTCACCTTTTCCCCTGCGTCTTGCCTACAACYGCAGTTGTAGTAAAAGCTGTTCAGTGGAGCAGTTTCCCCTTGGCGCAGAGATGAAACATTCTCTGCATGTCTGTGCTAAGTATGGCTTCAAACCTAAATTTCCCTTTTTTCTGCTTCTTGSTGTATTTGCCTTGATTCTTTCCTGGATCCAGGTCTAATTCTGTCTTCTGTGTGCTTTAGCTAAACTCTGAGGTAGCTGGAAAAATGTGTTACTGCAAAGACAAGATGGGATATCAYCCATTTRCTGCTGGTGCTTCAGCTTAGATCATCAGTTTTCCAGYACTTCCTGGATTTAAAGCAGATAAGACAACATATAGACGTTTTCTCTGGAATGCATCAGCTCCTGCAGGTGAAGAAGAGTTCAGGTGTTTGGGATTTCTAAGCTGTTTATGGCAACAAAATATGTTTTGCCAGTGGCATCTTTGCTTCTTTTATTCCGGAGGCAGAGAGAAGGCATTTTTTGGGGGTCATGACAAGGTTTTTAAACAGTAAGGTTTTTCTTGTTCCCAATTTTCATGTCAGTCATTCAAACTGTTTTTATTAATGTGAACAGTGTAGTCCATAAATACAAATGATGGCAGTCCCTAATGTGGTGCTCCTCAGCTAGTATAAACCACTGTAATTCCTCTGATTTATGTGAACTAGAATAACCCTGTTTAGTTGAAGATCTGGCCCAGAGTACAGGAAGTTTAARTGTTAGTCAGGGGAGGTTGTAGCAATTTCTAATTCTTCTACTTACTGCTTTTATGTGGATGTAGAGCGTTTTTTGAAGTTGGCATGGTCCAAATAAGGTATTTTATTTTCTACTTGTAGTGTTAATATCTTGGTAAATGAAGCAACAGCCTTGCGTTAGGAATTGTTTCATTTTGCTTCACAGGAAATGAAGACTCTATTTGGGTCTGGACTTTGAAGGAATACTGAAATTTTAAGAGACAGAAATATTTCTTTAAAGGATGAACTGATGACTGTATGTGCAAACTCTTATGCAATTAAAATACTTAGCTACTTCAGAACTTGTATTTGATTCAAATTGATGAGACTGTGTATATTCATGTAAGGCAGATGAATCCAGGTATTTAGGACATACAAAATGAAGTAAAAAAATTTTTTTTTTTAGAATTTTGTAGCTTGAAAAAGCAATGAGAAATGCAGTTCTCTAAAAAAATGATGATGCCTTTCACTAGGGGCAGAGCTTTTACAAAGGGTCTTTCAACTGRGGATCTCACAACTTCACTTGAAACACAGAATTAGGGCTCAACACTGAAGCATTTATCAAATGAACTGTCTGAAGGGGAAGAAGAGTGCTCCGATGATTTGTCAGCTGTGGGGTTGGGCTCTTGCACCTCACTCTGAGAGGTAAGACAGCTTTACTTTCTATAATTTACAGAATGAGCAAGCAAGAAGTGTGACTTGCCTAAAGTTACACCACAAGTCTGTGGCAAAGCTGCAGAATAAAACACCCTAGCAGACGTGTACATAAGCTGCAATTTCATCTTTCTCTTGTGATTCTAAGTTGGGAAGAACAACAACTGTTTTGAAATTCAAACCAGGAAGATAATCGTGTCTTTCCATGTGATTTGTTGGTTATCCTGGCTAGTTATCTTGACTGAAATGAGGAAACACACTCCAAAATCTGGTGAGTGGGTGGGAGGATTTGGGGTATGGGAGCTGGGACTATAAAAAAGTTTACCCTATGAATTTTCTGAACTGAAGACCAATGGGCTAAATTGSCTTCTATGATAAATTTTCATAATGACCACCTTCCTTTTTTCCCCACTGTCAGAATGATTCAACTGGAAAAAGGTAAAATATGTCTTGGATATATATATATATAAATGACACAGGTTTAACTAAAGCCCTACTCTGTCTTCTGTAAATGTATTTCCAGTCATTTTACGTCTCTCCGTCCTTCAATCTGGTTCACATCTCTAAAATGCAATACAGAAAACTGCCACAAGCACACTCGGAGAACCCAAAAAAAGTGCAGTTTGGCGCATTCAGACAAGAGCCAGTGGCAGTGCTCAGTCTCACCATTTCATCACAGACAGATGATATTACAGGTGCAAGAACATTCAGGTTTGTAAATGATAGCTTTTAAAAAAGGCAAAACAAATTTCTGTAATTCACTGTGCATTACAGCATCAGTGCCATAAATAGGCATACTCTCTTGGTTTCTTGTGCGGCTGATTTTTAAATTTATGATGAAGTATATAAAAGTATATAAAATTAATGTATGCTTACACTTAAAAGATAAAAGCTAGTTTCTGCCAGCGTAATAATGTACATAATTGGTTCTTTACAGCTAGAAACCAGATACTCTTTCACTCGTGCATTCATACCATGGCACTCTAATTTATGGAACTGGGAGGGGGGGAGGGGGGCGGCGTTTTGAGAGGTAGGGGGAAGGAGAAAAAAACGCAAACACTTCTTACATTGTTACCTGACTTAGGATATATATATATGATTATGTAAAATCTGTGTCTGGGTGGCTGTTTGCTCTTTCTTGCAGAGTATTCTGTGCTCACTGAGTGGGAGGGTCACACTGTGTGAGACTAATAAGGACAGAGCTGCATCCCCCTCTACCACTCTTTGGAGACTCACTCCAGCAACTCCTCGGCACTACAGCAGCTCTGTACAGGCATTTTCAGTGCTTCTGGGRGACAGATTAATAAAGAAATTAAAGGTAAGCCACTCATTATTTATAGTCAATTGTCTAAACATTTTACATGTGCACACTCACACGCTACACTATTCCTGGCTTGTTTTGTCGTGTTTTTGTTCATGAGGTTTTGGTTTTGATTTCCACAATTGCCATWAAAGTTTATCACTGCTAATATTAACTATGTCTACACAAACATGATGTATACCGTAAGATTTTAATGCCCTGCAATCAGCCTGTGCTATAGTATTCTACTCATGATGGTGTAAATATACTATATATGCTGTGGGTGACTATAGGTACATGCTAAGATATGCTAATAAAAACAGCTTTGCTAAATGAGCACTAATTTACAAAACTGATTAAACTGTTGCGAGTTGCCACAATGCTGATTGTGCATATATTTACATTTAAAAACCTACCTCTTAGCGTGCGTGTCCTTGTAATTAGCAGGCGTGCGGGTGGGCTGCGTGCAGTTGGTGGGAGCGCTCTGGTGAGTGAGCGGCGGCACGGGCGGGCAGTGCCCTGCGGGGAGGGGGCACCGCGCCGGCCGCAGCTCTCGGCCACAGCCGGGGATGCCCCGAGCCGAGTCCGATCGGATGGGGCCAGCTCGCCGCGGTCCCTCACCTGCTGGCCCGGCGCAGGTGCCGCCGCAGCGCCCCGCGGTACCGGGTACCGGGGCCGCCCCGCTCGCAGGCGCCACCGGCCCGGGCGGGCTCCCGGCCCCGCTCCGCCCCGGGGCTGCGGAGGAAGCGGCGGCGGGCGCCTGCCCCTCGCTCGCTCGCCGGGCTCCCGGCGCCGCAGGCAGGGTCCGGGGAGACGGGGCGGGAGCCCGTGGCGGGGCCGGGGAGGCGCGGAGCCGGGAGCCGGAGAGCGGGCTCGGGCTGCGGGGCGGGGGTGCTGCCCGGGTGCCCGCCCAGCCGCGCCGGAGAGCTGCCCGCTCGCCTTCCCGCCCGGAGCCTTGAGCCCTCCCGCCGGCAAACGCGGCTCGATCCAAGAGAAATGAAGCTGCCGGCACTGCCGAGTTAGAGTGTGAGCTGCCGAGGGCTCGGGTCCCTCCACAGGCGCTTGTAGGCTTCGGTGCGCAGGTTGTGCGGGGAGCGGAGCCTCCTGGAGCAGCCGGAGGGAGAGGACCCAAGCCCGGAGGTGCGGCGGCAGCGAGGGGGTGGCGGTGTCGGTGTTCAGAGCCCTCCAAGAAAGCCAGACCTCTGGAGCGGCAGCCCTACTGAATTGCCGATGCCTGCTTGTAAAGCAGGTGCAGGAAATTAAATGATAATTTATTTGAGCATGTATGCGCTTTGCTGYTGGTGGGAAGGCTTGAAAAGTTAATCATGATGTAGCTGCTGTCAGTACATGACAGAATAGCTCTGATGATGAATAAGGTGCCTTGCAAAAATTATTATAAAAATTGCATCTTAGGTATGTGATTTGCTTTTCTTATAGAAAATGTGATTAGAAAAATATTGGATGTTTTCTGTGTTACATTAAATTCACGTGTGTTTATACATTGCAGTTGGCTGAGAAGAARTCTTTTGTCCTCTAATGACAGTACTAGTTTATGTTGTTGAAGCCAGACTACTTTTGTGAGATTTAAACTGGAAATTCAGTGTAGACTGCTATAGGCACTTTGCAAGGTGGAGGAATACCATATTTTGGTTTCTTTTTTGGTTAAACCCAAAGGATTGCATGTTGACTTACTTCAGTTTAAGGACTACTTCAGCAGTCACTGGAAGTGTTACAACACCGAACAGTTTAGGTAGTATATTGAAAATTGAAAAATAATTTGAGGAGCAATATAAAAGAAAATTAGTAATTACTAATGAAGTGAAAATTCAGTGCCCTTACAGTTAATGTTTCTCCGTTAGTATTTCTAAAGCGTGGGTTTATTAATAAAAATCTAAAAAGTAGTATATTTATCATTTATTCCTAAACTGACATAATTCTCTTTTTTGCAGCTCCTTAAACAGATAAATTGAATGCTCGTATGTAACTAGCAACTTCCTCTCCACYGTTAAGAAGTTTTTAGTTTGTAGTTTTCTGGCAGGGTTAGGTGAGAAGAATAAGATGGCATTGTTCTAAATGTGCTCATTTTTTGTTTCAGATTTGTAGCTGTTTGTTCACATGTGTCCAGGAGGAGATGAAGTACATTGGATCCTGCACAGTTTGGCTTTGTAYGGCAGTCTTCCTCCTTCCTGTTTCTGCTCCCGTGGCTGTCAGTGACCAGACAGGTACCTCCACTTTTCTTGTCCATCACACACCAAAGGCATAAATATCAGTACTGAAATTTTATTTATCAAATAACACCACCATATAGAAAATTAACAATATGAACACATACAATTAGACAAGTTTTAAATCTCTTTTCTGAAATATCCTAAGTTTGAAGCAGTTCCAAAACAGCTTTTCTGCTTCCTGTAGTTGGAAGATTCATGTTTGGAGGTAGTTGTAGTTCCTAGGAGTTTTGTTTTCTACTTTTATTTTCCTACCATACAAAACAGATTATAAATCGGAGCTTGCAAAACTTCTGTGAACAAAGTCATGAGCAGACTAGCTATCACATTGACTTAAACAATCTAATGTTCATGTTAACCACACCTATACTTAATCTAAGCACTAGAATGGGTCATACATTTCACACATGCAGAGCTAAAAAAAAGCCTTCTTCCTAAGAGGGGGGAAAGGAATGTAATGATAGTGTTTAACTTTAAAGGTGTTGCTACGCATCTTCTGCGAATTTTCTCATATTGCTCTGTTTTCTTCTTTTACTTTCCACATGTTATCTGGTGTTCTCACTTAAACTCTATGTTAACTCTCCAGAATGTGGTAAATTCTGTGATAAGACACAACATGTGTGCTTGTCAAATRAGGAACATCAGTTTTCTAGAATTGCTCAGCCTTAGCATGTATTYCAACTTACTATAATTTTTCTATAATTATTAGAAAGGATAACATAGCTAATTGCTATTTAAAGTGAGTYGGGGCTTTTTCTCAAAAATGAAATTAACTCTTGGTAATGCTGTTCCTTTCCAGAAATCCTATGGAGGATAATAGGAACTACACATATGTAACAACTTGGCATCTCAATAAAAGATTTGAAACTCAGGCCCAGGAAATTTTAAAAATCCATTACTAGGATTATAATTCTTTTACTACTCCTGGCAACTATAAGTAGTAATAATGAATAAATGATAAGTGTAATGTGTGGGCTCTGAGGTAATAATAATGCATCATGAAGAGTCTGAATTTAAGTCAAAGTCTTTTTTCCCCTTACATTTTTGGGGCAGGGAGGCTAAGTGCTCTACTGCTGAAATGTTCTCAAACCCTCTGAGAGAGCAAGCCTGCATCATAGCTGTGAAATCATTGTGTCTGAAAGAAGCAAAATACGTTTTATTCTCTGCCATTACTAGGTGGTGGGTTGCAGAAGGGAAGTTTGTAAAATGCTGAAATGGTGTGAGWACAGAAGGTTCCCTAACTATATAAATTGAAAAATGTGAAGGTAAAATTTATGGAAGCGCTGTCTCTTTTATTTTATTTTTCTAATGAAATGATGACTTGTTAAAAGTTGGGCCAGCCGCAGAAGAGGTGGCAGACACACTGAAGTGCTAATAAGCAGTGCATCTGAGCTGTGCATTACATTCTGTTGGAAGTTTGTGGCTAAGCAGCCAGCRGGGAAGTTGTAGTTTTCCTTAACCTGATTGCCACAAATGGATCAAATATGGGTCCAATTGAACTGCTAGGAAGAAGAGGAGAGATTGAACCTMTCCTGTGAGTAACTGATGGCGTGCAGTTCTTCCGTTTGTGGTGGTACAGGCAGATGGTGAGGAATAACAAGTAGAGAGCTGCCAGCTTGAGAGTTCTGCCAACAGCAGGTGTTTGAATTAAGCCCAGAGTTAAGCCTCCAGTTGATAACAGGAAAGAAACTCTACTAGAGTTTGTAGGAATGGTTATCATCCAGAAAAGAAATACAAGCTATAGGCCAGAAAGCAGGAGTTGGGAAATAATGGACCAAGTAACAGAGCAGCAGTAAAAATGGTATAGACTTTGTGCCAACCTATTTGTTAATCTGCCCTTTTCCGCTGAACCTAGTACTCTGTATTGCAAAGTTGTCCTGTTCCAGTTTGATCATTTGTATGCAGATGAATCTGTTAATGATTGGAAATGTGCTTACATCAAGAAGCTAGTAATATCTAAAGATTTTTGTTTTTCTATCATGCRTTCGGTCACTCTTGGGCCTTTGTTGTCTCCTATGTACCAGTTCTGTTTGAATCAGCATCTGTCCTTCAGTGTCTGCCTAGACTATCTTTTTGGTTTTCTTCCTTCAACAACATATGAATAACATTTATTTCTCACTGCTAATATGAAAGCTTTTCCAACCAACCATTGTGGTAGGATCTCTAKTTGGATCCTGAAATTTCTCACCTGATCTACTTGAATGTAAAGGAATGGCTTCAAATATACAGAAAAACATAAATTAGAGTAAGTTTGAGGGGGGTGAGGGAAAGAAGTGTGTTAAGGAAAGGATTAACTTGTGTGCAAGTGAAGGGGAGCACRTTCTGAGCTCTCAGGCATGCTGAATATACTTGTGACTTATTCCTTGGGTCAATATTGTAATAAGTAAATACCAGTATTGAATAAAAGAGTCAGAGGCTGAGAGGGTATGCTGTATCTTCTTGGAGCAATCCTTTGTCTCTAAACATGTCAGTAACGGTTACATTTGCATCAAGGATTTCTTTCAGTTCTCACTTGTCCAGAGATTTTGATATACTGAGTGTTCGTTAGAAGGAAGCACTCACTTCTCATGATGGAATATAGCTAATCTGAGGGGAGAGGGTTCATGAGTTTTCCACAGGCATATTTTTGATCTGACTTCAAGAATATTTTCTTCATGGTGTCAACTTATTATTATTGGGATAATTTGGGGTTTGAGTTCAGACGTGAACTCTTTCTGTAGTGACGCATGAAGTTCTAATTTGATCGTTCCCGAATGCTTTTTATCAAGAGTATTAATACTTTGTCTCATTCCCAGATCATTACTTCTTTTTCAACTTTCTTTTACAATTACTGTTTCTTAAAGTCACTCGCTAATCCATGAAAAATGTTGTATAAACAAAGTCCTGGGACTGTAASGCATGGTGAATTGCCGTTGCCTTTTGACATGGAATTTGTTGTGAAAAGTATTGGCTATGACCCATAATTTTGGATAGGCACTTTAACCCAAATACAGTGAGAGGTTTCAAGTATGCACATCAATTCTCCTTTTTGGTTTTAATGTTTTAGTACAGCTAGATACTTCTCAAAATCAAGGTAGTGACACTACAGTAACTCTCATGTACAATGTATTCATATTCCTGATATTCCCATCCAACCTGGCCTTGAACATTTCCATGGATGGGGCATCTACCACCTCTCTGGGCAACCTGATCCAGTGTTTCACCACCATCATTGTATAGTCTGATCAAAATCTAACTTCTTTAGTTGAAAACCATTACCCCTTGGCCTGTCACAACAGGGCCTGATGAAAAGTCTGTCCCCATCTTTCTCATAGGCCTGCTGGCTGGAAGGCTTGAGTAAGGTCTCCATGAAGCCTTGCCTTCTCCAGGCTGAACAGCCCTAACTCTCAGGAGAGATACTGCAGCTCTCTGATAATTTTTGTGACCTTCCTTTGCACCTGCTCCAGCAGGTCCATGTTTTTGTTGTGTTGGGGCTCTGAACACGCTGCAGTACTTCAGCTGGGTGGGTCTCATGAGAGCTGATGGGCACAATCACCTCTCTTGACCCATTGGCCATGCTTCTTTTGATGGGCTTTCTGAGCTGTGAGCACACACCATCAGCTGATCTACAGCTTTTCATCCATGAGTGTTTYCTGTTTYGATACTGGGCATTGCCCTGACTCATGAGGTGCAGCACCTCACGACCTTGTTGAGCTCATGAGCTTCCCCCTGGGCCCAATTCTCAASCTTGTCTAGCTCCCTCTGGACGGCATCCTGTCCTTCAGGTGTGTCAACTGCACCACCCAGCTTCGTGTCATCTGCAAATTTGCTGAGGGACCACTCAATCCCTTCATCTGTGTCATGAATGCAGTTATTTAATAACTTTGGTCCCAATATAGGACATCACTTGTCACTGATTTCCATCTGGACATTGAGCAGTTGACCACTCCCCTCTGGATGTGGCTATCCAACCAATTCTTCATCCATCAAGCAGTCTGCCCATCAAATCCKTATGTCTCCAGTTCAGAGACATTGTGGGAACCGTGCCAGAGGTCTTRCAGAAGTCCAGATGACATCCATAGCTCTTCCCTTGTCCAGTGATGTAGTCCCTCCATTGTACAAGTCCACTGGGTTACTCATGCAAGACTTGCCCTTGGTGAAGTGGTCCTGGTTGTCTCAAATGATACGAAGACCTGTTTTTTTACTAATTCCTCTTCTTCATGAGAGAATATAGTTCTCCAGGGGTCTAGCATGAGTAACCCTACCCTTGAACTCCATTGCTTGGATTTCTTATTTCTGCCTACCAGTGCTGTTATGTTACTTCATAACCATCTAAATAGTCACCAGACTAGAAGTTGACTGAATCATGTTTCCTTCATTCTTCCCAGCCTTGTCTTAATTGACATATATGTTGTAATGTAATATGATCTTCCTTACAGAGTGAAGAAAGGGAATACAAAAAAATCACATCTTCTTTCCTGGTGCCTCTATACTTGAGGCTACAGGTATGTAGGAAATCTGAATTCTTGACCTTCAGCATGCGTACCTCTGAGGTAGACTCACTAAATGTCATTGCTTATATTTGCAAGYGTGTAGTAAGCTCTGAAGGTTACCTATGTCTGTGTTTATGAAGCCTGATCCAGTAAGAGTATGAGAAAAAAATCTTGGCTAGTATGGGTTTCTGCTTGAAGCTTAAGTCGACATAGGATGTGGGTGTATGTTGGATTGGGTTTTGSTCTTTGGCTGCATTCATTAGGCTGGTCATGCTCACTGGTGGAAGCTTCAGTACTCTTGCAATGTACATGTCACAGATGGCAGCTAAAAACTTCACCTGAACAGGAAGTTTAATTACAAAGTAGCACATAAGTACTTGTAAAGTGAATCTAGGCATTACAGGTTACACTTGATCTAGGGAAGCCAAGGCTGCCTTTTGGAAGTTACAGTGCCCACTCAGGAAGTCCACACGAGATATTTGTAAGAGGGAGACTGAAGCACACACCACAGTCTCTTCTGTCCTCCTTTGCATGGAATGGGAAGTTGAGTATGGTGCCTAGATGGAAGTTGAAGTGTGCTTCAACAGGTGTCCCAATCATTCCAGGAATTTGGAACACGCCATTACATGCTGCAACAGATGTGTCTAGATGCAGTGCCTTTTTTTTTTTTTTTTTTTTTTTTTTTTTCATAATGCTATTGGAAAACAAACAAAAAATTCTTACTGTCATCCTACTGGAGAGAGAGAGGACAATGATCTGGGATGTATCTTCTTTGCATAAATTAATATTTACAAAATTTTTAGATTGATTTTATATGAATAAACTCATACCTAGAACTCATTGTTTTAAGGGCAGGTAGGTTCATGGTTTCCTTACCTGGATTAGCAGTAAGAGTTTATCTTGTTCTTTTCCTTTCCTGAGTATCTTCATGTAGAACTCCTCATTCAGCTATCCACATGTTGAATGGGCCAATTGTCTGTTTTGTCTCAGGCTAAGGAAACTTTGAGGATCTGATAGCAGTACTAAAAATCATGGAAGAGGTTAACTGTGTGAGCTGCAACTGTAGAAAGAATTTTCATCAATCTGTAGTAATGAAAGTTGTCAGCCTTGGTATGGAGAGGGCTTGGTCTTRTTATTTGAGAGTTTTCCCTTAGTTCTCTGGTAAAAAGAATAGCATTGGATGAAGGAGTGCATCAACAGCATGCGGTAGAAGATTGACAGTACCTCTTTCCGTTCTTCTGGCGATGTGGAAGACAAACAAATAACTATCACTTAAATGGCCTGTCTGTGCTGTGACTGTTATGCCACTGGTAAAAATAGGTCCACAGTTCAGTCTGTGGCATGTGAGGAATCGTTGCTATCATCTGGATAACACAAAAATTAAGGCTTGAGTCTTTATTTGGGCTTGGAAGAAAGTGGCTGCAGGGAATAAGCTGAAACTGTCYAGTCTTTCACTGCTCAACACTCATCTAAGTTAATGCTGAAAAAAACAAAGCACATTTTTCTCCCAGGTTCTCTAAAGCTTATGTCAGTTTAGGGTAAAATCAGCAGTAAGTCTCTTATTATAGGTATTGTCAACAATTTAACCAAAAAGAGAATCTGCCTTGACATTTATTGAATATTATTGAAAAAAAATCCTGGGTAGAAAACAGACTTAAGGAAAATATCCGCCCATGTATGTCTGGCATTCTTTTGTGCCTTCAGCCATAAATGGCTTCCTTTAAGCCAGCTTATTTCTTAGAGCTGTACTTATGTAAATCTACCATAATGTCATTGTTTTAGAGTGGCTGTATATAGGAGYCTATAGTTTAATAGTCTGTGTATGATTGAAAGTTGAGGTTCATAGACTAAAGGGTATCTAAGGTGAACCTGTTTCTGTCCCATACTGTGTGTGTAAGTATCAACTGGTGTTTTGAAGTTGCGATGTTACCAYGAACAACAAAGCTGTGAAGAAAAGTGAATGCTTTTCTCACTATAAAAATATAAAAACTATATGAAATAAAACTATGTAAAACATTTTTTTATACTGTGAAGAAAAGCAAATAAGTTTCTCACTATATAAAACTTCCTGCAAATCAAGAGTGATGAACGATTTCACTTCAGAGTTTTCAACATGATTCTTCTTTACAGTTCAGCATCTTTTCTGGGGAAAGGGAATTTGCAGTTTTTCATGCGTATGTTTCATCTCATTTATCTTGAAACTCTATCTATCTGTATAGGGAAGAACATGTATATGGACATATATTTATGGATCTATATGAGGCAAAAAAAAAAAAATTATTCTCTTAGAGCCTAAGAAGTAAATTAATCTGTGATGTTACTTGTAACAGTAAAATCTTGGTTATAATTGTAATTGTACATGTGAAGGACATAGAATTTAATTAATCTTACTGAAGGAAGAAAACAGTTTCGCCCGTTCTGTTCTTTAAAGGAGTAGATATAACTTTCATTAACTATATTATCAGGAGGCATCTTTGTGTCTGTATTACATAATCTAGTTTCATTTTTACTAGTTATTTCCAATTAGCTATTCTTAATCCAGATCAAATACTAAAATATACTTATGAGTGTTTTTTGAAGGATAATATGCTTTCTATGTAACTACAGAATTAATGACAAATTTCACATGCTTTGAGATTACAAATAGAGCAATTTTGAATGCTAGCGTTTGGTCTGGATGCTCTTAAGAAACATTTAAATATATGTGATTTCCACATTGATAGTAGAACATTTCTTACTTTTTTCATTGAAATAATGCTTCAGAAAGTGCCTTGACCTTCACTGTTCAGCAACTTCAGATACACCTTCGACATGTTTTTAGTTGCATCAGCTCACAAAACTCTGTTCTCAATAAGCTTACAGGCCAAATATCATTATTTGTCATCTTTCATTTGCTAGTTTTATTTGGATTTAGCAGGATAATTAGCAAAACTTGTTAAATAGTGAGCCTTGTTTCTGACCCCTGCACAAAAGTGACAATTGTCTGTATTTACTTCTTTAAAGTGGGCATTACTATATATCAATTAAAAGAAGAACATAAAGGACTTCATGCAAGTAAGATATTGCATATTAATGATACAGTGTTTTATCTAAGGGTTCAGGTATATTTAACCTCAGTTTACCATGTTCCACGTAGTTGTACCTTCTGTTCATTTACAGAAGTACTTTGTTTCAGACTTACTCCCGTGCCTAATTTTGAGGCCTTTTTTTTTAATGTAATATTGTTTCATATTCATTAATGGGGGAAAAATATTTTCTAATAATACAGTCAGAAATAAAAGAAGTTGGAACAGATGTTACTGCTTTATAGGGTGTTGTAAATGGAAACAGCGTGGTAAGAWTTTAATGGTTTTCTTCTGGCTATATTGCTTATTTGAACTTTAACCAAAGGCAGCTGAATTAAAATGTGGTACAAATTCTCTCTGCTTAYATTATTGAAAGTGTAATATAAAAACTGCTCTCATTTAGATTTTGTAATTTGGTTTATTGCTGCTTTTTATATCCTAAAGAAACATTCTTGTCAATATTACCATCAGTGTCATGATAGTTTGTTTTATTTATTTTAGTTTGATAACATTTTATAATAGATACTAAACTGTGTTCTCTTAAAGGTGCTTTGTGTCCTTTAATGAAAACAGTCACCCGTCATCACAAACAAATCAACAGAGACAGTCATGGTGTTTCAGGTAAATAACTGAGCTAATATGGGTATCTGTATTAATTGGCTAATACTGGAAGTAATCATAGTCTGAAGCTGCCTTTGAAATTAAAGGATAGGACAAATGCCATCCCCAAGCACCAAAAGCTGCTGCTGCTCTTAGGAAGGGGAGGTTCAGAACGTGTTTTTGCTGGAAAGTATTGGTTCAAGTTTAGTAGCTACACTAATTTTCATGTTTTTTTCCAGTTATCCTGTATTCTTATCAGTTCAGATGATAAAAGGAACTCACAAATGCAGTTTTCAGCTTACAAAGTCACCTGCCAAGTAAATTTTGCATGAATAACTTAAATAAAATGAATAGCGAAAGTTTCTCTGATTTCAAGTTCTGCTTTTCAAAATATCTTGTCAGCCTGCATTCTAGAAATGCTAATATGCTTCTATGCAAGTATGCTGAAATGCATTATTTACTTAATATTTTTAAATTCCATTAAATTGTATCATATTGTATCACTTTTTACAGGGTTTGATCTGGCAGAAAGTTTTTCTTTAAGGCAAACATCCTGTGGAGCAGAAAAGATCTGTTTTAAACTGGGAAGTGCACCTCTCGTCAGAAATACAAGGTAAGATACTACTTTTATACTTAGCTTTAAAAGATTGATCTCAGACTYAGTGCTGCTGATTAACTGAATCACTGAGCATGTGTCCAAAGGATGCCAGAGAAAGCAGTATATCTGTTTTCAGACATTTTCAGCTTCTTCTGTGAAAGCATTTTGATTTTGAGGTGYTTTTCTTCTAGAATCTGGGAGTATCTAGGTAGTAAGTAAATTGTAAATAGCACTTTCTCATATCATGATTCAGACACTGAAAATTCTACTGTTAATACTTAACTATTTATAAAACAAAGGAAACAAATAACTTTCATGGTATGATAGGAAGTATACTAATTTCCCTCCACTGAAGTTGTCTGTCCTCTCTTTCATTACGGAATTAAAAAGAGAGACAGTATCACCTTTTCCTTCAATKATATTTTTTTTATTTTCCTGTAATTCACATCTTGCCCTTGAGCAGAAACAGWATTGTAGGTACTCTGTAGAAGAGAAATTAGGCATTCTGGCATTCTAGGATGGGATGAAAAGCAGAGACTGCATGAAAAATCAAAAAGACGGTGAAAGAGAGTAAGGCACAATTGGATTGGATGGACTTAAGTTTGCATAGGGACAGGGAAATGTCAAGAAGCAGTTAGGAATGTAGTTTCAAGTTCCCTGTGCTCAGTGGAGARCGAGGATCATCTCAGAGCTTCTTGGTTGAGATGTGCTCTGAGTCATGGGGCTGGTTTCTGTACAGCRTGTTCCTGTGGTGACGAGGGAAGCAACTGTATTCCAATATCTTCAGGTTGGGTATTTTCTGTTGCAAGAGGTCTGGCTCCAGCTTGCCTAGTAAAAAAATACACCTGGTGCTTGGATTTCCCCTTTGCTTGGCTCCTGGGCATAGCAGAGAGGGACTGTAATCAGCATGAGGCCAGGGGGAAGGAAGAGGAGAAGAACTGGAGCTACCTAGACACAACACAAARTGATCTTTGTGAGAGGAGCATGATTAAAGAAAGGATTTATCTAGCAATTTAGAATATTTAGATTCTCCAAGTTTTTCTGATGTRTTAGATACTGTAAGTGCTCTTACAGTATACAAGAAGTTCTCTTTTTATTGGACCTTTCCTGTATTATCCAGGTTGTCTTTAAAAGAGAAACAGGAGAAATTARGTGACAGCCATAAATGTCTTTGCTAAAAATATTTTGAGAGATTTTTAGTAAGAAAACATACTTTAAAAAAATTAATTAATATTTCAGGTTTTTTCCTTTTTTTTTCCCCCAATGTATGGGGGTTTGAGGGAAACATGGGACTACAGAAGAGTAGAAAATCAAGGMAGTAACAAAAAATGTGGAGCTATTTTCCTTTAGGAATAAGGAGCTAAGTAAGTAGTGCTAAGAAATGCAGTTTGCAAGCTGACTGTTTTGAAAGAGAAAGAAAATCAGTGGCAAAATGGAGAGAGGAGCTAGAAATTGTAAAAGAGTGATTTATTTAAAATTCATATTACTTTGAGGTAAAATTCTTGATTCAAAGTATTGATTTCTAAAAATTTCTGAGTGTTTTTGGAAGTGGTCTGAGAGGTGATGCTGAGGTTAAAAAACATAAAGYTTTTTTTCTTGGCTTTATTTAGTAGGCCTGAATAATAATATCTGTGTTTTTTCTTCTTTTGGAAACCACTTATTAGTGAAGGCACTGAAAATGGGGAGTTCTCACCATGGCTGATAGCTGTGACCTAGCAAAGCCCTAACTATTAGCAACGGCGAGGAAAATACTTCAGAAAGTCACAATGCTTTTTTTTGGGGTTTTTTTTTTTTTCATTTTATATTTTTCCCTATATTTTGTTTCATCAACCTTTTGAAGGGAGAGAAGAATGGCTAGTTTTTCTTCATTGTCAGTGTAACTGGGGTGGGGGCTAAATAATTTCAGTTAAGGGTGAGCCTGGAAGGGAGGTGGCTTGGCTTTCATGGTCCCTTGGTTCTCACATTGCTCTCCCTCCGTTATTTTCTTCTGTGTATCCTCATGAAAGAAAAACTAAAGAGAAAGATCTTTCTAGTTTGCCCTTAAATATGCRTATCTCATGGATGAAAACTTTGGCTGGATTAAGCAACTGAAATGATTATTAATAAAATGCATATCAGTGCTAATGTATTAATATAGTTATGCAGAAAATTGGTGTCATGTTATTGATGATAATGAGGTACAAGATAAGATTCRCAGTCAGCTTGCTGTGGAAGTTCCTCTTACATACACCTTCCTGAATAATAAAAAGGCTACAAGAATTTTCAACAACATTCAAGCATTGCAGAATTTCTGTTAAGTCCTAGTTCTTCATGGCAATAGTCTTGCTTACTTTTTATTAACCTTTCTTCACAGAAATGCACATAATTAAAAAAGTGAGTTCTATTCTTAACTATATCAGTTTGTTGAATATAAAATGGATTTTCTGATTTTGAGATGGCAGTTTGAACAATATTTTAAAAAAATTGTTTAAAGCGTGTTTTATTTTACACTCTTCTGAACTTCTGTGATGACTTTTAAAAATAAGGGCAGAAGGCAGTCAGGAGCACAAAATCAGGTTTTGGATTTTGAGATGGTAGGGTTACAATGAAGGATAGTCATAAACTTGAGTATCTGTCATCATAACCTTATAATTTATGATCTCAGTTACCCATGTACAATATCTTTTAATTAATTATTTTTATTTAAATCTACCTCTCWTACATTATGTCAGGTTGTGTGTTTCCAGACCCCTTGTGTTATTAGATGGCTTTCAGGATCATTCTACCTCAGAAAATATTTTAGTACACGTGGCGTGCAGTAAGGAGCAGAACAGTGTTTGTYATCCATCCTGCAGGAAATTGAGAGTATCTGATTAAGCTGACTAGCAAGTATCAAGTATCTTGGCACATCTCCTCTTGCATTTCATTCATTCAGTTGTAGTGTGGGTAATAGAGAGCTATGCTGGGCCATTTTTCTTCTGTGATGCCATTTTGGTTTTTTTCAATGGACCTGGAGTAGTGTTTCACCTATTTATATGTTGTAAATAATTTACAATGCACTGTCAGCTTGGGAAATTGATTACGTTTATTTATGTTGGACTTCAGCTATAGGTCTTTATCTCTTTCTGCGGTGGAGTTCTACACATATTTTGTCTTGTGATAGCAGATGGATAGCTTTTCTTGTGTTTTATGTAAATGRCTGTTAATTATTAACGTAATGCCAGTAATATTTTCCTGCTTAAAACTGYGAATTGCTTACTGCAGTTCTTGTGTGGACTTTGACAGAAGTTATTTCTGAAGAAAGTAGTGTAACTGAGCTTTTGAGTCATAAAGGAATTCTTAGTAAAATGCTATCGTGTTAGGCAGACAGTCTTAAYGTGGTCATAAACGATAGAAACATCTTATAATAGTAATTATATCATGGTTTAGTCTTATCTGAGGCAAATACACTATAAAGTCATATTTTTTTCTCCAGTCTTCAACATGTACTACCTGTGTTGTGTATTCCAGTGTGGCACAGAGCTTGCTGACAAAGGRGTACAGGGTTTTGTGCTGATAGCGTTCCTTTAGACCTGCCAGCAGTATTCCATACTGGCCTTTTAGGCCAATCTTTGTTCTTCAGTTGCCTTAGCATAAATAGCTCTATGATGAATTAATTTCACTGTCTTTCTCTAAAGATGCATCAGACATCAGTTGTTCGTCATTCTCACTTTTCTGGGTTGCTGTGGGCCATTTTTTTCCCTCTTCTGAAAGCACCAATAAAGGAGATAATAAGCTGATTTCGGCTGAGTTTCAGAACGTTTTTGAAATGGATGTTCGTGATTAGCAAATCTTCATGGCACAGTCACAGCTTTCTTATTTTGCAGTTTGTTTGGCTTGACAAACCATATTAATTTACTGAGGAGATTATCATAGCTGGCTGTTAAATGATCTGAGTTACAGCAGTTGGATTTACTCTCCCAACTCTTTCAGGAATTCTTCCCCTTTCATTGTAAGAGACTACAAAAGAGCTTGGATTTTGACTGTATTTGGACTACAAGCTCCACCAGCAGTGTTGTTACTCTCTGCTGCCAGAAGAGCTGTGGCTTGGGCCCTATTTCAGAGAAAGTGTTTCACCTCCTTGGGATGTGCAGTTACTGGAGGAAGAAATACTATTCCCACTTGCCTCAGTGAATTCTAGGCAGGAGGATTCTTTCTGCTGAGAACAGAAATCAGTGATGARAGGGTATTTATGTGGGGGTTTCTGTTTGTTTTTAGTGCTAACCTTTTTACCTGAAAAACAAAGTGAAGGGAATTCCAATTTTCTAGCGCACAGCTGGCATCAAGGGAGGGGCTTTCTGTGCTCACTGTTAGGAGCCTTTTCATAGCCAGCAATTTGCTTTCCCAAAACCACCTATCTCTACGTGGTTTTGCAACCACTGACTTTGCTGTCTGTCCTCTGGCTGTGTCTGCTGAGACCTCTCTCTTCACCAAACTAAAAAATACCGAGTTCCTTTCCATAAACTTCAGCTCTCCATGAATGTCCTCATGAGTTTTTATTATTTTTGCACATGGCATTTGTTTTGAGCAGCAGAATCTGTCTCAGCGGTCTTCTTGAAAAATATTTTAAGACATATTTTAGGAAGTTTTATACCTATTTCTTAAATATAACATAGAATAAATGTGAAAATCACGGGTTTAAAAAAATAATCATTGACAATTTTTAAAGCATGACTGAAAAAGGCAGTGAGATACTGTCCCAATTTTGAGGCAGTAGTTGCAATTACTCAAACCAGCTTTTATCTGTGCTCACACAAAGTCCTGCTAGCATTTAGTCTGTTAAAATATTACATGTTTATGTAAGAAAACACCTCTCCTTTGCTATATCATTTATTTATTTGAGGTCATTTCAGTAGTTAGAGCCAACAATGCTAAGACCGAAATGTCTGGTATTTTGGTTGCAGGGTATTTTCAAGAAAAAGGCCTTGTCTTTGGAATTTKCTGCCTGAGTGTGGGAACCTGAATTTAGTACAAGTTCTGATGCTTCTTCAGGTCTT